GCCTGGCCCTTCAGAACCCAGACTGCTTCTCGGGTGGGCCTGAGCCCACCAGCTCAGGGCCCAAGGGATCCCTAGGTCCCCAGTTGTGCCCCTAGGCCTCGCTGCTCTCCAGCCCACTTGCCCAGAGTCTCCGTAGCCCTTTAGGCCCTAGCCACATTCTCAGGCCAGGCCCTTTCCTCCTCCAGCTGTGGGCTCCTGCCCGCCCATTCCTCAGGCCCGGCAGGACCCCTCAGGTGCTCATGGACCGTGTCTCAGGTTTGACTACCTCCAATCTGGACTACCCCCAGATTAACTGTTAAGGGTCGTTTCTGGTTCCCTTCTGTGCTACTCTGCCCCACCCTCTTAGGCTAAACTATCTGAGATCTGAATTCCGTGCAACTCCCCAATGTCCTGAATTCTGCTGGGCCTCTACTGGCCCAGGACTTGCATTTAGATCCCACCTACCCTTCAGGCCCCACATATCTCCCATCAGCCACTTCAACCCTAAACATTCCTCTCTCCCATTTTTCTTTTCCTCATGTAACTTTTCTCAGCCCATACCTATTTACCCTTCGATAAATATTTGTTCACTTTAACAGTTTTGAATTCACATTTTTAATTCTTTATCCAGCCTACGTGCACTTAACTAACTTTTCTGTATTCATTTTGTTTTATGGTTTTTTTTGTTTCACAGTGCTGGGGACTGAACCAGGGCCTCACATGGTAGGCAAGTGCTATACCACTAAGCCACACCCCCAGCTTTTAACTAGAATTCCTAACTAGCTTTTCTACCCACCCTAACTAGCTCTCAAGTCATCCTTGGCTGCCCCTGATACTAAGCTGGGGTTTTTTGGGGGGCGGGGTCTGACTTTGTACTTCAGGCTGGCCTCAAACTTTCAATCCTTCTGCCTCAGCCTCCTGCATGCACCACCACGTCTGGCTCTGCTCACCATACTATAGACATTCCCAGCCATTTTCTCTTTCCCTATCACCAACTGACCACTCTGTCCACTTTACTCTCACTACTTCTTATACTTGATTCATTTATCAACTCTCAGTTTTGTTTTGTTTTTTTTGCTGTTGTTTGGTATGGTTAAAAGAAAGTGTTAACCAAAGCCATTTTAATTCTTACAAGTTTGTCTAATATTAAATAGGATAAGATGCTTAATAGCTGTAATTCAACACTTTATTCCAGTTTTTTCCTTTTCAATGAACTTGCTGTCAACTTGTTTATATTTTAATAGAAGCCATGAATCAAGTATTTGGATAGATGTAGCTAACCACATTGGAAAATGAAAATTTATAGATGTTTACCAATTCTCAATTCTGTCACCTCTAACTATCCCAGTTCTGGGCCTTTTACCACCAAATGCTTCTGCCCTGTCCATTTTCCACCTATCATTCTTTTTCATTTCACCATCCTGTATTTCCAGTTAAGTCCCTTAACCGAAATTTGTAAATTTCACTTTCTGTATATATTTATCCTCAGAAAATTGGCTTTCTCCGTTACCTCTTTCTACACTCACCTTTACAGTGGTTACCATCTTGGCAGTCTTCAACCTTTGTGTTCAGTTAATAGTCCAACACTAGCTGGGTGGTGGCACACTCCTGTAATCCCAGCTACTTGGAGGCTGAGGCAGCAGGATCACCTTGAATTTGAGGCCGGCCTGAACTATATAATGAAACTATTCCTCAAAACAAAGAAAATGGCCCAACATTAAAAATACTTTTTTCTAGTACGGGGGAATCAAACCCATGGCTGCATATTCTAGCCAAGTGCTCTACCACTGAGCTATATACCCTGAGGCTTGGGATACTTTTTTTTTTTTTTTGGTACCTGGTATCAAACTCAGGACCTCCTGCTTGCAAGGCAGGCAGTGGAACCACTGAGCTAAATCTCCCCAGCCCTATACTTCTTAAACTCTTTTCAGGATCTACATATATTCTTTCCAATCTCTAGATCTGTTGCTGATTTTATCTCTACAGTCACTCATGTGAGTGAATGATTCATTTTCTTTTCTTTTTTCCCGGTACTGGGGATCGAACATGATTCATTTTCTATTATTGCCCCAGAAAAAAGGAGGATACTCAGTCCAGGTACCCAGCCCAGTCCTGTCATGCAGGTACAGGAAAATGAAGCCAACCTCCTCCCCTTTGCCACGTGAGTACATCCTAGTGGATGAGAGGATGGTGAAGGGATGGAGGGAAGATTGCATGCTTATACCCTGTGTTAGGCACTGGAGATTTAACAATTAGATAAGGGTTCTGCTCTTATACAGTTTATATTTAGAGTGGTAACAGAATGTATAAACAAATATAGTTTCAACTCATGATGAGTACCATGAAGTATAACCTAAGGGAAAATAGTGAATTTAGGGGGATATAAAGTTAAATAGAGTGATAGTGGAAGACTGTTCTGGAAGGTGAATTTGAGCTGAAATGTGAAAAGTAAGAAGGAGCTAGTCTAATGGAGAAAACAAGTTTAGCATGTTCTAGGAACAAGCAGGCCAATGTAACTGAAAGTTAGTAGTTAAGGGGAAAATTGAGAGTAAAGTCAGAGAGTTACACAGAGGCCAGATCATGTAGGACCTTTATAGGCCCGGACCAAAAAAAAAAAGTCAACAATATAGGCTATGTGTGCTTGTAAGCCCAGCATTCAGTCCATAGAGAAAAGTTTGGATTTCATTCTATTTTTATATGTATTATTGGCTTTTTTTTTTTTTTTTTTTTTTTTTTGGGGGTAGCAGGAATCAAACTCAGGATCTTGCACTTTCCAGGCAGAAAGTGGAACCACTAAGCTAAATCCCCAGCTCTGGCTTTTTTTAAAGACAGGATCGCTATGTAGTTCAGATTGGCCTTGAGCTCATTATGTAGCCCAGGATGGCCTCAAACTTAAGGAGATCCTCCTGTCTCAGCCTCCTGAGTGCTGGGCTTACAAGCATATGCCACCACACATAGCCTTTATTACTGACTTTAATTTTAGACATCATATCACAGTGGCAACCTAGTACGATGAAATCCATCTGCTTTTAGATGAATACATCCAGATTTATTTTCATTCCTACTATGTCAACTCCACACTGCATTTTTCACCTCTATACAAAATAGACCAGATTTCCAACTTTTAGGGAGCTTGCAGATCAAAATTATTATTATTATTATTATTATTATTTTGTACTGGGAATCAAACTCAGGACCTTGTGTTTGGTGAGGCAGGTGCTGGAACCACTGAGCTAAATCCCAGCCCCAAAATTCTTACGTTGTAAAAATTACTGTCTAGATCATGACCACAAGAAACCAAATTTATATTTTCTTTAGTAGAGACAAGACATTATTCAGTATATATCAACATATGGTGGTGTTCAAGAGCAATTCAAACAGTAGCTAAATAGGGGAGTCTGGATTTTATTCTAAAGACAGTGGAAGTAAAAAAAAAAAAAGTGTCATATGTAGACTTTTTGCCTTCATGTTTTTTATGATGGAAAATTTCCAAGAAATACAGAAGTAGAAGAAACAGTATCAAAAACTAGATGTGGGCCAGGCATGGTGGAGCATGCCTATAATCCCAACACTCTACAGGCTGAGGTGGGAGGATTGCCAGGACTTTGAAACCAGACTGGGCTACTCAGCAAGACTGTCTCAAAACAAACAGACTAGATATGTCCATTTTGGTCATCTTCAAAAATTATTATATGGATAATATTTTCATGTCTACACTCATAAAGTCCTCTACTTCCAAAATTATTTTGAAGTACATCCCAAACCTTGTATCATTTCACATGATCACATTTTTTAAGATGACTGTCACTGCTCTGTGAAGAAAGATTGCATGAAGATGAGCAGGGAGAGGAGGAGAGGCCTTTGCAATAGTCCAGGAAGGAAAAAATGATGTAGAATACAGTAATGGGAATGGAAAGGGTGAGTGAGAAGTGGTCAAACTCAGGTATATTTCAGATGTAGAATTTACAAGACCTATGATGGATTGGATTTGGAAAGCAAAAAGTGAGGCACAGGGTCAGGGATTTAGCTTAGCGGCACTGCGCCTGCCTAACAAGTGCAAGGTCCTGAGTTTGATCCCTGGTACTGAAAAAAAACCAAAGGCAAACCAGGCTTTTGGAGTTAGCAGCTAGGCATGTGCAGTGCCTTTCAGTAAGATGGGGAAGACTGGTGGGGGGCGTTGAGTGGATCCCAGGGTAGAACCAGGACAGACTGAAAAAACAGATTTGGGAGTCATCAATATGTTGTTATGGCTTGTATCTAGATGCCCCCCAAAAGCCTCATGCAGTCATAGTGGAGTTTTAAGAAGTGGCTGAACTGGAGTGATGCTGGGATTAAGGATGTGATACTGAGATTATGCTAGGATTAATGTTGTCCCACCCTGGGTATGAGTGCTATGTGCCCTAAGGGCGAGTAACCTGGATGGAATATAAGGGACAGAAGGAGGGCTGCTATGGTTGCTGCTTGTCATTTGCTGTTTGCTACTTTGCTGTCTTCATGCCTTCTGCCTGCCATGAACTGTTTCTCTTCTACGATGTCCCTCTGCCATGCCACCCTGCCTTGGAGCCAGCTGACTAGGAGCTGAAACCTGTATAGACTATGAGCCAAAGTAAACCTTTCCTCCTTCAACTTTGGTTATCAGGGTTTTTGGGGGGTTGTTTTGTTTCTTTGTGGTACCGGAAATTAAACTCAGGACCTTGTGTTTGCCAGGCAGCAGGCACAGCACCACTGAGCTACATCCAGGCCCTGTTTTGTTTTTGAGACAGGGTCTCACTGCAGTTCAGGCTGGGATTGAAATCACTATGTAGGCCAGGCTGGCCTTGAAATCACCATAATCCTCCTGCCTCAGCCTCCCTCAGCCACCACAGCTGTGGTGTCAGGTATTTTGTCTCAGCAGTGAGAAAAGTAACTAAGATAGCAGTATTAAAGTCATGATACTAAGTCAGATTACCTAAAGAGACATGGAGATGGAGAGCATAAGGGGCCCCTGCCCTAAGTCCCTACACTCTACTTCTTAGAGATCAGAAGGGCAGTCATTCAGTCTGGGGGCCTTATAAGTGGTAAGCACAGTTCTCAGCTGTGTACATGTGTCCTTATCTGTAAAGATATTAGCCCTTGGGCCAGGGATTTAGCTCAGTGGTTCTGCCGCCTGCCTAGCAAGCGCAAGGTCCTGAGTTCAATCCCTGGTATCCCCCCAAAAAATGACAACAATAAAGATAGCCCTTGAGATAGAAGAGACAAAGTAGGGGTAAACAGGTTCTCTCTCATGTTTTGTGTTTTGGTTTTTTTTGTACCAGGGATCAAACTCAGGACCTTGAAGCTTACTTACAAGACAGATGTGGTACCATTGAGCTAAATCCCTGGCCCCCTCTCCTGGTTTTTTGCATTGACCTAAAGGAAACCTCAAATTGCCTGAATAGCCAGGGCCTTCACCTTTAATGACCCTGCTTGATAAATATTATGTTCACTGGTTATGATGTATAGAAGTTTGAGATTTCTAGGCATGGTGGTACATTCTTGTAATTCCAGCACTAGGGAAACTGAGGCAGATCATGGTGAGTTCAATGCCAGCCTAGGCTAGTGAGTTCAAGGACAGCCTGAACTACAGAGAGAGACTCTTCTCTCAAAAATAAAATAAAAGTGTCTGAATCTAGAAATTTGAGATTCTTTGAGATTTCAGACTCCAACAATAGCCCATCTCCACCTTGAGCTCAATCTCCACTCAAATCAGAGACTTCACTATCTTCCTTAGCTCAGGTAGATAGGTCATGTCTTGAGGAAACCTGAACAGCTGTATGGTCTTATAGAAGGATAGGCCCCTGAATCCCAAAGGTGAGTAGATGCTAACTGGAAAAGCCAGATTCAAGCCTATGGTATCCTCACCTCAGGTGTTCCAGAGTGGTCAATCGATCTCCACCCTCCAGCCTGCCTTCCCAGAGCTGCAGACAAACACCCAAGCACTATGGAGATACATTCTGGGAGGATCTTACCCGAAGACCCAGGTGAGTAGAGGAAAAGAAAACAGAGACTAACTGGAATTAGGATGGTAAGAGTATACAGTTTTTACCTACCATAAATCTTTCGAAATAATCCCTAGTCTGGGGATAATTTCCCACTTGCTGATGGACACCATAGCTCCTAATGCCAGATATGCTGTTGAGAGAGGTCATCAGAGAAACAGTATGGATGGGTTATCCCCTCTGACTCTGGCCCCTTTTTTGTACTTCACAGCCCTGTCTGGATGGAAGAACCATACATCTCACCCATGTTGGTATGACATACTATACCTTACAGAACTTTTAGGGCTAAGAATTTAGCTCAGTGGTGCCAATGCCATCTTGCAAACACAAGGTTCTGAGTTCAATCCCCAGTACAAAAAAAAAGTTTGTACTTTTGCACCTCCTGTCTTCTTGTCCCCAGCTATCCTTTTTACCCCTTCTGCACTGTCCAGGCCTCCTTTCTGTGAATCAGGCATCATGTTTTCCATTTCACATTGAGGCTTCCCAAGACTGCTGACTCCCAAGTTCAATCCAAGCATCCCTGAGAAAACTTCTCATTTTCTTCATTTTCTGGCAAAGAGAGCCACTGGTTGCTCCCAGCTTGGCCTATGCCCTTCTCCTGAAGGGCTCCCACCCCCTGAGATGCTTTGCAGAAGACGGAGGAGGCCCCAGTTGGACAGAATGCAGCAAGGACCTGGGGGCATCCCAGCCCGGGTGAGAGCTGTTGCTTATCACCTGGAGGACCTGAGGAGGCGCCAGAGAACCATCAATGAGTAAGGAGGGGGGACATGGGGCTTTAGGAGACCAGGAGGGTTAGGAGAGGATGGCTTGAGCTAAGCAAAAGATTGACAATTTTGAGAGAATTGGAGGTTATTTGGAAAGGAGCCATGGGCTTGGTACAAATGAAATACAATTTCTATAATGTGGCAAGAAGAGATAGAAAATGAGCCATGTGCAAGGAGTTGAAACTGGGTCACTAAAGACAGGAAAGTACATTGTAGAACTAGGGGATCTAAGGGTCACCTCTGGGTCCCTGGACTGAAAATTCTTCAGTCTTTGGGGAACAGAAAATTGGGACTGGCAAGTTAAAGGTCACATGGCAACATCTTAGGGACCCAGCAGGAAATACTTCAAAACAGATAAGTAACACAGAAAGAGTTAGGAAGCCTGGGCCTCCAGGCACCTATCTCCTAACCCTAAAGTCTCCACAGACTAAAGAAGGCCCAGTGGGGCATCTCTGAGGATGCACCCAAGCCACTGGCAGTTCCTGAAGAGGACTGCGGATTCCTCAGCACCAGGGAATACCCTGATCTGGAAAAGGAGAAGGCAAACCATCCACAGGAAGAGGACCATTTTATCACTCCTGGTAGGGCTCAGGTATGGCTGGAGAGCAATTTTGTAGGGTGCTAGAGCATGATACAGATCCTCAGTCTTGCATAGGGAGACAGCAGAAGCCAAGAGCCAGTTTGCATAGCTGGAGATGAGAGAAACAAAACATGAAATAAGCAAGAGCCAGAGACTTGGGGGAAGAGGTCCCTGGACTACAACATCTGGAAAGAGCTGTATTTTTCCATCCTTTTTTTTTCTTTTCTTAAATATAGCTGCTTTGGTCTCCCTGGAGTCCCCTGGGCCAGGACAGGGCTTGTGCCTCCAGACAACTGAGCTCTCAGGTCTACAGCACTGTCATGGCCAGAAGGAACCCTGCTTGCAATCCCTGGGGGATGGAGTTGGAGTCTGAGGAGTAAGGAAAAAACCATCCCACGATGCGGTGCTGTTTTAAGGACCCACATCCTGTTCCATCACTAGAACTACCCCACTATTAGCACCGAAGAAATACCCTTTCCTTTGCCTCTCCAATTGCTGTTCCTGTCCTCCGGGCTAGGTAGTCACAGCCCCCTTGGGCTCCCACCTGTCTCCCTTCTCACAGGAACTCCTAGCTTCTGGCCTTGTGTTAGTTTGTTATTAAAGAGCAAGCAAGTGGAGCCGGGAGTTGTCTTTTTCTCTTCACGGTGATGGAGAGGCTAATCAGGAAGGGACAGGACCTCCTTGCACATTCTGGAGAACCCAGCTGCAGAGAAGTCAGACTGGGTTCCCAAATTCAAGGAGCTTGACTGAGGCTAGAAGCGTCCAGAGATTCTCGCTGTTCCTGGGTTCCAAACCTGAGTTGTCGCCCCTGCTCCATCCTCCGGGACCTGGAGCCAAGGCAGTCGGTTGAGCTTCGGCCTCCGGACCCCGGGACCTGGCTCCTCAGCACCACTGTCCCTATAGGGACTTCCAAGCGGGGTGTCCTCCGGCCTGACCCAGTCTGCCGAGAGATCTCCCCGGTACCCCACGTGCGCAAACCCCAAGCTCCCTTCCCGACTCCCATCCCCTTAATTGGGAGGCCCCGCCCCGTGCGCAGTGACGTCGACGCCGCTGTCAGCCGGCGCTGGGGGGGG